ATTGTAAGAACTTTTGTGAATGCCACAATAATAAGCACAACAATAAAGAAAAAAAAAAAGAATTTGACCTTGCCCAAGGAGACACCTGCTCTTTGCCCCCACCCCTGGTAGGTATGTCCTCTTAAAAGCCTTAACTATTTGCTTTTAAAAAGATGAGAATCTGCATCATTTATTTTGTTTTGGCAGCACTGAGGTTTGAACTCTGGGCCTCAAGCTTGATAGGAAGGCAGTCTACCACTCGAACCATATCCCCCAGCCCTTTTTACTTTAGGTGTTTCATATAAGCTCTCACATTTTTGCCTGGCGTTGACCTCAGGCCTTCCATGGTCAATCTTGATCCTCCTAATCTCTCCCTTCCAAGTAGCTGAGATTACTGGTGTGCACCACTGGACCTGGCCAAGATCTGTTGTTTTTATTAGATTTTCAATAGGAATCCAAAAAAGTTAGGAATCATTAACAAAGTGGTTGAAAATACGGATTTTAGAGTAATCCAGACCTAGTTCAAATCTGCTCATAGAAACTTGTAACAACTCATATAACCTCTCTGGGCCTCAATTTCTTCATTTATAAAATGGGGGATTTGGTCTCACATGCATAGGGTAAGGGTTAAATTCTCTCATGCATTAAAAGATTTTAAGCACAATGACTACACAGAGTAGAAACTCATTAAATAATTATCAATATTTTAAGACCCCTAATTATCTCTAGTACTGTGATTTTTGGAAGCAATGTGGCATAACGGATACATGTCCTTAACTTCAGAGAAAAGGGGAGCTGGCTAAGCCAAGACCCTTTTGCAAATCAATTTATCTGAGCCTTGTCTTTACATTTCTTAAATAGTAGAGAGTAGTATCATATGGTTGTTGAGGAAATGAAAGGGAGACCGTATGCAAAATATTTGCACAAGGACTGGCCTATACCAGGTATGCGGTAAAGGGGAGATACAATACTAAAACACCTGTCTCTGAGGCCCCACTCCTTCCTTCTGTGATTGATGCACTTAGGGCTGATGAGATTTTAAGCTATCCTAGGACATGGGATGACCTATCCCTCATACCAGTTTTGCCTTTCCTGGAGTGTCCTGAAGTAGTCACTTTTTATCTTTACTCTCTTCTTCCTCTTTAACAATTTCCTTTACTTCTTCTTATAAAGAGGACAGAGTTGATTAGGAAGAATGCCAAAGGTGGGGCCCACAATGGAGGGTTTTTTTGCTTAGGATTCTGATGGGAGTAGGAAAGAGATTTTTTGGGGGGGTGGGGGAGGTTCTTTAACAAATGCAAACATGGTCCAGACTGAATAAAATATATATTCTAGAATTACTAAGTAACATCCTGGGATAGTTAGATTCACTTATATAAAGTCAATTAAGAGTCAAATATTTATTTGAACAAAATATTAAGAATAAAAAACCCCAAGAAGCTATTTTTCTTGGTAAAAATACTCCAAAGCAAAAAGACAGAGACAATTTTGAGGGATGCTTGATGAGTTCAAATAATGAGTTCCTCATTGCATCAGCTTCATTTTTACCACAGGAATCTACATGAGCAGACAGGTTTCCTCCTCCTCCAGCTTGTTTCCTTGGTCTGCCATTCCCTTCACAGTTTCCTGTCTCCATGTCTTCTGTGTGTGTCTCTGGATTTCATATAGTGTTTGTTCTCTTCCAGAGGACATCTGTGGCATATTGTCCTCTCTGGTTGTGAAAGACTTGTCTTGAAGCCATTACCTCTTTGGACTAATCATTGTCCTCTATATAGAAGGTATAATGGTCTAGTGAATAGAAACACTATGGAATTCAGAACTTGGACTGTTCTGTTCCAACTCTAACCTAAATCAGATGAGCAAGTCCTAATACATATAGAAGTGCCTTCTTTTAATAAGTGTTAGATAAATAGTTTCTCATTCTCTTTGGTTGTTATATTATTCATATGTAAATGGAGGAAGTTAAGAGGACCTTGAATTTAGAATTCAGGCTCTAAACTTGGACCTTCCAGCTCTAAATTCTGTGATTATATTCTAAATGTTAGGACAACATGGTACTTACTGGCATTGCCATTAATGAAATTACCCATCATTTATCTTATTAAAAAAACACATACCAATAGCCACAGGACAGCCAGGCCTGAAAATGAGGGTGTGTGGATTTTTATCTTGCCCACAACTCTCTAGTGACACTTGTGATGAATGTGAATGTCTCTGAAAAAAATTCTCACTGCCCTGGGGTGACCTGACCTGTCTTTTTGTTTTGGACTTGGTTACAGTAAACACATCCTACTTGAATGCAATTCTTCATGCTTGAGACTTAGAATGCAACTGAAAATTAAAGTTTGTGCTTTATACCTGTTGATAAGTGATTTCACAAAAAATGTCTCACATTTTATCTTTCACCTATCTGTTCACTCTGACCTTTACTTTACTTCAGAGAGAAGGTTCATAAGAGGTTGCCAGGTAGGTTCTCACTCAGCATTCTTTCCTTCCATCTTTTTTAATCTTTATCTTTCTTCTTCCTGTCATAGTGGATGAGGTGTCCAGCCCAGACTATGACTCTACAAATGTGGTCACTGACTTTCATTTCCTGTTAACACTCAAGGATTACGGTCCAACTCTGTTTCCTCCTCCTCTTCGAAAACCTCACATCAGCTTCCAGCCATCCTAGAAGATTTTCAGTGAAAAGAATCAGCCTACCAGTCCTTCTATCATATGACAAAATAGAACTGAAGAATTTTTCAAGTTTGTGCCTCACTTTAGGTGACTAAACCATTAAGGTTGTTTTTGTTTTGCCCTATTTCTTGGGGCCTTAATCTTATTCTGTGTGTGCCTCACTCAAAATTGGATAACAGAATAGAAATGATTTCTTTCTTGGTTAGGCTTTCCTGTAAATCTCATTTCCAGACTTGCTCCAAATTAGGGTAAAGGTTAAGTGAAGTGGGGGAAATGAGGGAGGAAAGGAGGGGACATTCAGCTCTGTGGAGGCAGTGCACTTAGACAGTTTGCCTCTCTGATTTTACACCCTTCTGTATTGATTCCATTGCCTTGCCATCTCAATTTCATCCTGCAGGGGACATGTACTCTGTGTGTGGCCTCCGCCATCCAACATGGCCAACACTCTACCCAGCAGGTGGCATGAGGGAATCCTCAAGGACATTAAAACTCCACAACAGCAGCTCTCACTTCTCTCTCACTTTTCCCTGCTCTCAGCAGAGGGACTGCCTCTGACCATCTGCTACTGCCTTAGTCCAAGCTGATCAACCTGTCCACAGATTTTTCTCCCAAGACCGTATGGTTGGTTTTTATTTGCTCATAGCTTTTTTTTCCCCCTCATGTTCTCAGTGAGTTTTTTTCCCTCTTTTACCTTTCATTCTATTAATTTGAACATAGATCCCAGATATCTCTCACCACAAAAACACTTTCCTGTTTTCCTTTCCATACTTTAGTGTTGCACAACTGTAGTCCAGATGAAGTATTCAAGGGAATTGTAGTGGAAAGACTAAAGAGCCCAGGTGTATCACACCCAAACTTGAGTCTGTTTTGTCTGAGTTAGCATGGTTACCTATGGCAATGTACAGTACTTCTCTGATTGAGTTTATTTTTCAGTAAAATGTTTATTAAACATGAATCCCCTTAATTTTGGGTGTTCTATAAGAATCATGAGCGAATCCTTATCTCAACCAGCAAAAACCCTTGTTCCTTCCTATTATTGCTTATACTCTCTCTACAACAAAATTAAAAATAAGGGCAAAATAGTTTCTGCTGGGTATTGAGGTGGGGGGAGAGGGATGGGGCAGAGTGGGTGGTAAGGGAGGGGGTGGGGGCAGGGGGGAGAAATGAACCAAGCCTTGTATGCACATATGAATAATAAAAGAAAAATGAAAAAAAGAAAGAAAGAAAGAATCATGAGCGATAGCTCTTGAAAGAATTCTCTGAAAAGGTAAATTATTGTACATACCTACTGTTATTTCTTTTAAGTTTATTATCATTAGCAGCGTAAGTTTCCTAATTCTATCAGTACATCATAGAAGTGCCTTCCACCTGCGTATAAAATAGGTGTAGGGTGTGCCCTTAGTCTGCCTATTAATATTTTAAGCATCTTTTCTCCCAAGCTATCCAGTAAGGAGATGCACTGTCATCTCCGAGGTCCTCTCCTAGGTAGAGCTGGCATCCCAGCTTGGTAGACACTACTGTAGACCCCAGTTTATGAAGGACTTCTGGCTGAAGATGATTAGTGCTTATAAGTAATGGAGACCAGGGTCTGAGCCACCTACCCACATGCCAGGGTTCTCTGTGTTTTGTGATAAACAGTGTCTGTACCAGAAGATGCTGGGTGAAAGTACTTATCAGTCAGAGCATCCCTGGAAAAAGCTTAACAAAGGGAATTGTCAAACTTTTCTGCCAGAAGATTTCAGAGCAAATTGGTCCTTCACTACACACCTCTGTGTTCTTTTGCAGAGTAGCAGACTAGCAACTTGTGCTTGTGTTAGAGAAAATTACATGAGAAATTTTTTTAGCACCTTTTAATAAAGCTAGCAGTGATATCTAGGAGACATATTACTGCTATCAAGCATGCAACTTTTAAGCATGATTTCTCTTGGTGACTAAAAATGCAAGCCCTCATTTCAGGAGATATTTGTGCCTCCTTTTGTCACTAAACCCACTTCCCTTGAGTCATCAACATAGCCCCTAACAGAGCAAATGCCAAAATCAGGTTAGATTAGTAGGCTTATGCTTGCTAAAGACTTAGGTAAGAGGTATCCCACAAATGTCTAAATTGCTGCAGCTCAATAAGGTTTCTAAAAAGTACTTTCACACAATTCATTATTGTTAGTATTTGTGACTGTTTGATAAGCTCCAGAACCTTTTTCTGCCATGGAAAATAAATCATTCCTAATAGCCAATTTTTTTTTCCTCTGTCTCTCATTTTTGAACTTGATCTTTCCCCTGAAACAGTTACATGTCATCACCAGGCTTTTCTCTGTTTAATATTGTTTTTCTTTCCTCTGCCTTAGGATGGCCGTCTGCGGATGAATGACCAGCTGATTGCAGTTAATGGGGAAGCTCTTCTGGGAAAGTCCAACCACGATGCTATGGAAACACTTAGACGATCAATGTCCATGGAAGGAAACATACGAGGGATGATCCAGCTTGTGATTCTGAGGAGGCCAGAAAGACCAATGGAGGTGATGCATGTCTTCATTTTCCTCAGCAAATTGCCCAAATGGCTGCCAGAATCATGACTTGGGGGTAGCTTGGTTCTGCAGTTGGAAAGTGTTCCCCAGCAGGGCTCTGGTAAATATATGTGGGGAACAGGTGGTTGTATATTTTAGGTATAAGTACAAGGTCTAAAAATGCACATATAAAGTAGGTCATTTATAAAGTAGAACAGGTCCATATTTTCAGGGTTTTTTCCTCCAAAAATTCCTAGCACTCCAGACTCATTCATAAACATATTTATATATATTTTAGTTGATGTGCTAGAATGTCCATGCCTTAGATTGTTCCTGATCAGATGTGTACAATGTATAATGTGAAGATCATTTTAGTATAATCAGCTCTATATTCTTCACATTCTCCTTACTTAGGTAAAATAGACCTGAGGCTTAATTTAGTTTCTTAAACAAGCTGTGTGCTATATATTATTAACTGAATGGGAGTCTTATTTTATTTTTTTTCTAATTGACACTTTATTTTTTTTTTCTTTTATTCATATGTGCATACTATGTTTGGGTCATTTCTACCCCCTTCCCATCATGCTCCCCTTACCCCCCGCCTCCTCCCTCTCCCCCCACACCCCCGCGATACCAGGCAGAAACTATTCTGCCCTCATCTCTAATTTTGTTGGAGAGTATAAGCAATAATAGGAAGGACCAAGGGTTCTTGCTAGTTGAGATAAGGATAGCTATACAGGGAGTTGACTCGCATTGCTTTCCTGTACATGTGTGTTACCTTCTAAATTAATTCTGATCGAACTAACCTTTTGTCTAGTTCCTGGTCCCCTTCTCCTGTTGGCCTCTGTCGCTTTAAAGTATCTGCATTAGTTTTTCTGCATTGAGGGCAACAAATGCTATCTAGTTTTTTGGGTGTCTTACCTATCCTCATACCTCCCTTGTGTGCTCTCGCTTTATCATGTGATCAAAGTCCAATCCCCTTGTTATGTTTGCCCTTGATCTAATGTCCACATATGAGGGAGAACATACGATTTTTTGTCTTTTGGGCCAGGCTAACCTCACTCAGAGTGATGTTCTCCAGTTCCATCCATTTACTTGCAAATGATAAGATTTCATTCTTCTTCATAAAATTCCATTGTGTATAAATACCACATTTTCTTAATCCATTCGTAATAGTGGGGCATCTTGGCTGTTTCCATATCTTAGCTATTGTGAATAGTGCTGCAATAAACGTGGGTGTGCAAGTGCCTCTGGCGTAACCTGTGTCACATTCTTTTGGGTATATCCCAAAGAGTGGTATTCCTGGATCATATGGTAGATTTATGTTTAGATTTTTAAGAAGCCTCCAAATTTTTTTCCAGAGTGGTTGTACTAGTTTACATTCCCACCAGCAGTGTAAAAGGGTTCCTTTTTCCCCGCATCCTCGCCAACGATTGTTGTTAGTGGTGTTGCTAATGATGGCTATTCTAACAGGGGTGAGGTGGAATCTTAGTGTGCTTTTAATTTGCATTTCCTTTATGGCTAGAGATGATGAGCATTTTTTCATGTGTTTTTGGCCATTTGAATTTCTTCTTTTGAGAAAGTTCTGTGTAGTTCACTTGCCCATTTCTTTATTGGTTCATTAATTTTGGGAGAATTTACTTTTTTAAGTTCCTTATATATTCTGGTTATCAGTCCTTTGTCTGATGTGTAGCTGGCAATATTTTCTCCCAAAAAAATATGGTCTCATCAGTTTAAAGACCATTTCTTTTGTTGAGCAGAAGCTTTTTAGTTTTATGAAGTCTCATTTATCTGTGCTATCTCTTAGTTGCTGAGCTGCTGGGGTTCCACTGAGAAAGTTCTTACCTATACCTACTAATTCCAGAGTATTTCCTACTCTTTCCTTTACTAACTTTAGAGTTTGGGGTATGATATTAAGGTCCTTGATCCATTTTGAGTTAATATTGGTATAGGTGATAAACATAGATCTAGTTTCAGTTTTTTGCAGACTGCTAACCAGTTTTCCCAGCAGTTTTTGTTGAAGAGGCTGTCTTTTCTCCAGCGTATATTTTTAGTGCCTTTGTCAAAGATAAGTTGGTTATAGTTGTATGGCTTCATATCTGGGTCCTCTATTCTGTTCCACTGGTCTTCATGTCTGTTTTTGTGCCAGTACCACGCTGTTTTTATTACTTTTTAGAATAGTTTGAAGTCAGGTATGGTGATACCTCCAGCATTGTTCTTTTGACTGAGTATTGCCTTGGCTATTCGTGACCTCTTGTGTTTCCAAATAAATTTAACGGTAGATTTTTCAATCTCTTTGATGAATGTCATTGGGATTTTGATGGGAATTGCATTAAATATGTAGATTGCTTTTGGAAGTATAGGCATTTTTACTATGTTGATTCTACCAATCCATGAGCATGGGAGATCTCTCCACTTTCTATAGTCTTCCTCAATCTCTTTCTTCAGAAGTTTATAGTTTTCCTTGTAGAGGTCGTTCACATCATTTGTTTTGTTTACACCTAGGTATTTGATTTTTTTTGAGGCTATTGTAAATGGGAATTGTTTTCATATATTCTCTCTCAGTTTGTTCATTATTAGTGTATAGAAATGCTAATGATTTTTCTGTGTTGATTTTATATCCTGCTACCTTGCTATAGCTGTTGATGATGTTTAGGAGCTTTTGAGTAGAGTTTTTTGGGTCTTTCAGGTATAGGATCATGTCGTCTGCAAATAGGGATATTTTGACAGTTTCTTTACCTATTTGTATTCCTTTTATTCCTTCTTCTTGCCTAATTGCTCTGGCTAGGAATTCCAGTAGTATGTTGAATAGGAGTGGAGATAGTGGGCATCCTTGTCTAGTTCCTGATTTTAGAGGGAATGGTTTGAGTTTTTCATCATTAACTATAATGCTGGCTGTAGGTTTGTCATATATAGCTTTTATAATGTTGATGTACTTTCCTTCTATTCCTAGTTTTCTTAGAGCTTTTATCAAGAAATGGTGTTGGATCTTATCAAAGGCTTTTTCTGCATCTATTGAGATGATGAAGTGGTTTTTGTCTTTGCTTCTGTTAATGTGCTGTATTACATTTATAGATTTGCTATGTTGAACCACCCTGCATCCTGGGATGAACCTACTTGGTCTTGTGTATGTCTTTTATGTGTTGTTGAATTTGGTTTGCCATTATTTTATTGAGGATTTTTGCATCAATGTTCATTAAGGACATTGGCCTGTAGTTCTCCTTTTTGAGGTGTCTTTGCCTGGTTTCGGGATGAGTGTAGTACTGGCTTCATAAAATGTTTTAGGCAGTTTTCCTTCCCTTTCTATTTCGTGGAACAGTTTAAGGAGGGTTGGTATCAGTTCTTCTTTAAAGGTCTGATAGAATTCAGCAGAGAATCCATCAGGTCCTGGATTTTCTTTTTTTGGGAGACTCTTTATTGCTGCTTCAATTTCATTTCATGTTATAGATCTATTCAGGTAATTAATATCCTCTTGGTTCAATTTTGGATGATCATAAATATCTAGAAATCTGTCCATTTCTTCAAGATTTTCAAATTTATTAGAATATAGGTTCTCAAAGTAGTCTCTGATGATTTCCTAAATTTCCATGGCATTTGTTGTTATCTCCCCTTTTGCATTCCTGATTGTACTGATTTGGGTTTTTTCTCTCATCATTTTAGTCAGATTTTCCAGGGGTCTATTGATCTTGTTTATTTTTTCAAAGAACCAACTTTTTGTTTCATTAATTCTTTGTATGGTTTTTTTTTTGGTTTCTATTTCATTGATTTCAGCTCTTATTTTTATTATTTCTCTCCTTCTATTTGTTTTGGGATTTGCTTGTTCTTGTTTTTCTAGGAGTTTGAGATGTATCATTAAGTCATTGATTTAGGATCTTTCAGTCTTTTTAATATATGCACTCATGGCTATAAACTTTCCTCTCAGGACTGCCTTTGCTGTGTCCCATAGGTTTCAATAGGTTGTGTTTTCATTTTCATTGACTTCCAGGAATGTTTTAATTTTCTCTTTTTACTTCATAAATGACCCTTTGTTCATTAAGCCATGAGTATTCAGTTTCCAGCTGTTTGCATGTTTTTTGTGTTTATTTTTGTTGTTGAGTTCTAGTTTTATTGCATTGTGATCAGATAGAATGCATGGTATAATTTCTATTTTCTTATATTTGCTGAGGCTTGCTTTGTGCCCTAGGATATGATCTATTTTGGAGAAGGTTCCATAGGCTGCTGAGAAGAATGTATATTGTGTAGAAGTTGGATGAAATGTTCTGTAGACATCAGCTAGGTCCATTTGATCTATGGTATGTTTTAGATCTAGGATTTCTTTATTGATTTTTTGTTTGGATGACCTATCTATTGATGATAGTGGGGTGTTAAAGTCTCCCACAACCACTGTGTTGGAGTTAATATATGCTTTTAGGTCCTTCAGGGTATGTTTGATGAAATTGGGTGCATTGACATTGGGTGCATATAGATTGATAATTGTTATTTCCTTTGGTCTATTTCCCCTTTTATTAGTATGGAATGTCCTTCTTTATGTCATTTGATCAATGTAGGTTTGAAGTCTACTTTGAGATCAGTATTGCTATTCCCACCTGTTTTCAGGGGCCATTGACTTGGTAAATCTTCTTCCAGCCTTTCATCCTAAGCCTATGCTCATTTTTGTCAGTGAGATGGGTCTCCTGTAAGCAACAAATTGTTGGATCTTCCTTTTTAATCCATTTCATCAAATGGTGCCTTTTGATGGGGGAATTAAGTCCATTAACATTAAGTGCTAGTACTGATAGGTATGTGGTGATTCCTGTCATTTAGTTGTCTTAGTTTTTTGAGGGTTTGATTATGTGTAGCTAAATCGATGTTACTCTCTACTTTCTTGCTTTTTCTTTTCCTGTAGTTTGGTATTGCCTGCCCTTTCATGGTTTGTTGGGTTTCACTTTCTGCGTGCAGAATCCCTTGCAGAATCTTTTGTAGTAGTGGCTTTGTGGTCACATATTGTTTTAGTTTCTGCTTATCATGGAAGACTTTTTTGCTCCATTTTTGAATGATAGTTTTGCTGGGTAGAGTTTCCTAGGATTGAA